ATATATTGTCAAAAATATTAAAAAAAATTATAAATAAATACTAAATTTCTTAATCAACATAGTCCACAAAATCGAATGCTTCCAGCCACATGATCCCCGAGAGGTAAAATTAAGCATCGATGTAAAGTAGCTACTGAATTCGTTGGGGGAAATGAAATTAAACAGATTTGGGCTTTCAACAAATATTTGGGCTTATTCGGCCCATTTTCAAATAGACTCAAATGTCTAAATATTAAAATGACAACATATGTTAAATAACTATAAAAAATCGAATTATCGCTATTCACAAGAAAACTTCGAGCAAAGTTGTTTATGGACTGGGTTGAGTCAGACTCTAGTTGGGGCCGAGTTTATGTAAGACATTTTAAATTTAATTCCATCTAAAATATAAATATCAAATTTTATTCAATTATAATTATATTTTAAAACAATTAACATTTTAAAAACATTTAAATTTAATTTATATATGATATATTATATAATATGTATAAAATCAAAATAATATAATATATTAAAAGCATAAAATATGAGATGAGTTGAATCGGATTTGGACCATGAATATTAGAGTGTAAATTCAATTCATATTTTAAACAAACCTAATTTATTTTTGTCCAACTTTATGACATAATATTTTATTTAAATCTCCTTAAGTGTTGACTTAAACTTCAAACTTGAATAGATAACCTAATCCTTGGATAGGTCTGGACCGATAGGACAGTTAGGACGATAATCACATAAAAAATTTAAATTGTTATATACTTTATATTTCCATTTTTTTTTATTTTTTGATAATTTAATTTTATTCATGTGAAATTTTATAAAATTGTCCCTTAAAATATTATAAGTTTGCTTCCTAACATAAAATCATAAATTTATCCCTGATAGTAATAAACCTAGGGGCCATTTGAGGGCGACCACATCATACAAATTTCAAATTTATATATATTTTATATATTTTATTTATATTTTCTATTGATATTATGTTTTTACTCTTAAAATTTTATGAGTTTATCCTCTTGAAATTTTACAAGTTTTCTCCGACACTACATATATTCCTATTTAATATGATTATGAAAATAAAATCATCACTTAAACCTAATACATATTATTTGTTTCATCTGAATAACTTGTTTATGGTCATTTGTATCCTATATATATATATAAGCAAATTTTAATGCACTTAATTTGTACGGAAACTGTGGAGCTATTTTACTATTATTTTTATTTGAATAGTTTTTTAGTTACTCACAATACACATCCCTGTAATTTAATATTTCTAAAAACAATATCACCATCTTTAATCCAATAATATCTGAGACACATATTTATATACATCGTGAAGCTCAAGCTTTAAGCCAATATAGTCGAAAATTTGTTCTAAAAGTGGCTATATTCAATGTTTGAATGCAACGAAACAATAACTCTACTAATCCCTTGACCAGCCACGAATTCGCATCATCAAGCTGCACACTGTTATGGTCCCATTCTTTTATTACATTTTAAACTGAACTTTTAAAATTTTAAGAATAATAAATTTATAAAATTTTAAGAGTTAAAATCAAACTATAAATAAAAAATATAAATTAAATATCTAAAATATATAATATTTACAATTTTCAAGAAATAATTATTTTGGCAGTCCCTTCAATCTACCCTTATCTTCACTCCATGAGTAATCGATTTTGACTCATAACACTCAATTTTATTTGAATCTGAATTAATTTATGCTTAAAACAATTAAATTTAAAAAATAAATTTAAATTTACTTTAATTAAAATAGGCCAACTATAGTAAAATAGACAATGTTAAGGGAAACAAATAGAATTAATTAATTAATTAGGCCAAGTAGAGTTGGTTTTATTGGAAGAAAGTATAGGGATTGGTATTGGGAAGTAAACATTAAAAGCTCCAACGATAGTAGGTCGAAAGACATTAAAGGCCATGATAATATTAAATTCCCATTTATTATGGTTAGGTATATTAATGAATTGGTCTAGTAAATAGCCTTTAATTAGCTTCCATGCAGCAACCATAATAAAGCTCATTGTTTGACAAAGTTTAGGTGAATGCAGTTTTCAAACATTTATATGCACACAACCAACTGGCTATGAAATTTAATACAATTATTATAAATAAAAATATAATATGTATGCCATTCGAAATCTAAATATTTATAATTTTTGAAATAAATATCATTTAAAATTTTGTGCAATATTATAACATCTTAGTGAAAGATCAAAGAAATTTACAATAGAGTGATTTGAAAAGAGAACCATTTCAAATTCCACTTTCCTTAATTTTATCTTGTCAAATAATAAAAAATAATTTTATATTTTAAAAATCTATATAAATAAAACCTCTCTTTAAAATATTCGATGATGTATATTTATTAATAAATCAAATAATAATTATCATGTCAAATCATCATATAAAAAAGTTTTATGTATTATTTGATTCAGAATCAATATATGTTCAAACTTTATCTAAAAAAAGTAATAGATGATGATAAGACGAGTTTATCCGTACTTAGAGTGCCTGTAAAAGATGTTGGAGAATGACAGATTATGACAGTGTTTTGAAAATTGGACCGGAGTTCAACCGGTTTAATTGGGAATCACTGTCTAATCCGGTTCATTCTACACCGATTAAACCGTTACTAGTGAACCAAAAGGAACTATTGAACCAGCTGTGAACCGTTGAACTGGATCGGACCGTGAACCGATTGAAAACTGGTTCTATTTTTTTTTCTAAAAAAAAATTAAATCAAACGACGTCATTTATTAAACGAGTTAAAAATTATCAAATTCAACTCGAACTTGAAATATAATATTGAAACTTGAACTAAAAAAAAGGCTCGAGCTAAAAAAAATTTAGAAGCTCGATTGAAGCCTAAAATTCGAGCTCGCTTGAAGCGAAAGAATAATTCGCTCTGTGCTCACCAAAAGACTCAATTCATAACTATACAAGGCAGCAGTTACTTCACTGAGAGACACATCAACCTTCCCATGAAGTAGAGTAGTTTCAAGATACTCAAACTCATTAGGAAGTGATCCCATCAACATCAGAGCCAGATCTTCGTCTTCAAAAGTCACGTCCATATTCATCAGATCAGTCACCAGCTGATTAAAGCTAGTAATGTGATCATTCATAGTGGTACCTGGTACATAGTTGAAGCGGAACAGTCTCTTTTTCATGTAGAGTTTGTTCTGACCGCTTTTCTTCAAAAATTTCTCCTCCAGTGCCTTCCACAATTTACTTGCAGAAGTTTCCTTAGAAAATGCATACTTCTGCTCTCTAGAAAGACACGATCGAATAGTACCACATGCCATTCTATTGATCCTCTTCCATTATTTCTCCTCAACATCATCTGGTTTATCTCTTTCAATAGCAATGTCTAGACCCTGCTGAAATAGGGCATTTAGAACCTCGCTTTGCCACATGCCGAAATGACCGGTGCCATCAAAAATCTCCACTGCAAATCTAACATTTGTCACAGCATTTCTTGCCAAAATTGAAGATGAAGAAGCGTCTGCCATTTCTGCTACAAATTCTATTTAATAGCTGCCAATGCAGAATGTCAATTATCCCAAGGAAATTTTTCTGATGTGGAAGATCAGCCTAAACCGCAACCACAGAGCATACTAAAATAAACCAAGAGCGCTGATACCAATTGTTGTGAAATTCGGGTTAATTTCCACCAATAACAGATTCACCGTGAAAACTATTATCTAGGTGACTAGTGTGAAAACGATTGTACTAAAAATCACCCCAAGGTAGATTCCCAGGAAAGAGGAGGGGTCACAATGGTCCCTCTTAAAACCCACTTTCCTTAGACAGAACTACCAAGACAAGTAATTTTAATAGGACAATAATTGACAACAACTATACCCGACAATAGCTATTAAATAGACATAAAGAGAACACCAAAATATTTCACTAATAGAGGAAATATTACAAAGAGAGAAAGAATACAAATAGCCTTTAAAATAGAAGAAGGCTTATATTTGTGGGATAATTAACTAAGGAGGAGGAGGGCTTTATTTATAACAAAAGAATTTTCCCTCCTCCTTATACACAACCAATGTGGGACTTTTGCCAAAAACCAACAGCCTTGCCATGGCCATCGTGCAACCTGAGACGAGAGTTGTACATGAGATTTTTTTTTGGACGGTTAGAAGCGGGAAAAGGAACTCATCTTGTGTAACATAATCTAGTATCCTTCGAAAGTGGCCAGGATCTAGTGCTTTGTTATTTAAAAGAACACGCTCTAATCCAGGATCATTCCATCTCTAACTTCCAACAATGTTTGTCTTGCCAGCCCCTCTGCGACCAGCAATTGTCAAGATTTCCTAGGTCTAGCGTCAGAATTCACGTTTTTCAGAAACTAACGCTTAGATGTTTTGGTGGATAAGAAAGACATTAATAAAGAACCTAAAAACAATCATTAAATTTAGATTTAATTTTAATATGCATTAATGAAGAATTTGATTTGGAAAATAAAAAATTAGTGTATAAATGATGTCGGAAAAAAATTGACGTGAACCCTTGTAATTAGTCGGGATTATTGATGACATGGTGAAAAATATTCATGAAATAATTTCTCCAAGTTTACTAATGTGATCTTCGTATTAATTGATGATAGCATTTAGTAACCTTCACAACTTCTTTATTGTTTCATGTTATCTTCATTTTATAAAATTCGAGAATCAATTTTCAAAAATAAAGTTACATCTCATAAATCAAATGTACCCTTAAATTATACATGATATATTATTCGAAGATTCAACAACATACATAAAATAAATATTGTTTAGAACTCTCTTAATCAATTAAAAACATAAACCATGTAGTTACAGTTACTCAAACTTAAGACATCTAGGAATATAATATTCTATTTTACGGTTGAGTCCACTTGACGGTATTATAGTAACACACTTATTGGTATTTTATAGCACACCTTAAATAAGGTAACATAAGATGATTTAAACACAAATATGCATGGCCAAGCACCAAGAAAGCTGGAAAACGAGTCTTTAAATGGGTATCGGATCAACGAACAACGTACGGATGTAATCTTTCACATATTTGGGATCTGTGTAACCATCTCCATGCTTATAAAACATATATGACGGTCGAGCAAAGTTCAAATGTCGTAAGAGCAGATCTCTTGGAACGACTGTAGGTGTCATACATTCCTCGTTTATATCCTTCCATGCATCCTCCAACAGTTTCTCAAATGCTTTAAGAGTAAGTTTCTCTGAAAGGTTGTGTTGTTTCATGAAGCATTCAACACTGGAAGGCGCATGCTCTCGCAATTGCTCAAACTTCAATCGGAACAAGCGAACCAGTCAAATAAATTGAAATAATTGTTTTAAGGTAATCAATAGTAGAAATATAAAGAGATACCTTATGTGACACTATGTCATCCATGAGACGACCTATAACATCTATAGCCTCCATAATTTTGGGTTCCTTTCGGAGCCATTCAAATGCTTCTGTCCCTGCCATTTCCCCCATCCCGATGAATGCTATTGTCATCAATACACCGAAAGTGGATGTCTTCTTTGCAACGCTCATGTACTCCTCAAATGTTGGTACATAACCATCATGATACCATTTCGTCTCAGCATGATAGTCGTTCGCTAATTGAAGGAGCTAAATCATACGGCCAATTAGAATGAACAAATACTCATAAGGGAAACATGAGCTATTGATGAATAACTTACAGCCTCTTTTGCATAAGGGACACAATAAGATCTTCCTTCCTTCGTAGCCTCTTCATATATTTCATCAAAAACCGCAAGCACGGCCTTGCAGATAACTTTAGTGTAATCTTGCAACTCATCCAGAGCACCAATCTCCCACCTGGAAACTATGAAAGTGTATGAACATTAGTTCTAGTACTTGGGAGATGACTAAGATCAGTATGATAAGTAGAAGAATGCATCTTGTGACCTCTTTAACGCATCTATAAAACGTTGAAGCTCTTGAGGTGTCCCATATGCATCAAACGTGTCATCTAAAATTGATATAACTACTAACAGCTTAGAAAGAAGTATCCGCCACTGTGTATAGCGAGGTTCATAAATAGGGAATTGATCCATGTGTAGACCTCCACGTATCTCTCCCGTGCATAAGAAAGCTCAGAGGAAAACTTGTTGTCCTCCCAAAACCTACGATATAAAAATACCATTATCATGCATGAAAAAGTCATCAGAAAACCATTCCTCAAAGTAATGCCAAATGCTTTCTTTTTTTACCTTGCGATTTGGCTGATCTCCTGTTTATGAAGTAGTTGTACTCGATTAAAGTCTAGCTTTGCAAACTTTAGCAGGATCTCATTTCTGGACACTTCTTCCTCATAGAAAGAGATATAGGTCCTTGCCGCCAGCCTTGGAGGGGATTTGTTCAATGGCTGATCAAGGGCGTTGGTTATTTGCTTGACAAGAAGCGGGCTAAACTTGTTTGCCGATGAGTTCAAGTTTTCCGTGGTGAATGCAAGGGCTTCCTCTAATATACACTCTCCATGAACTCTCAGATGGCTAGCTTCGTACAGACTTAATATTCCCTTACCATCATCGATCAGGATTTCTTTCAACTTTCCATCAATGTCTTTGAATTTGTTGAAAACATCTGATTCGCATAGTGGATTAGTTAATAATAACATGAATAGTTATTTCAGTATTCACATGTGAATGTCGTAATCCTTACCGCAAGACATTTTAAAGCCATATTGTCTGAAAACTCGAAAGACAATAGAAGTAGAGTTTAAGTCAAGGTCATTTCCGGCGACAAGGACACTTTGGAGGGAATTGAAAATGCTTTCCAATTGGTTTTCTATATCATTCTCAAAGTGATATGAAACACCAAGACGAAGCAGAGCATCTATGAATTTAACATTCTCAATAGGATCAGCTGTAGAAGCCATCAACATGTCCTTCACTTTCTCTTTCAACGGGTCAATTTCTTTGGTTAAAGAATCAAATACCTGAGACTGCTTGAAAAGTCATTGAAAAAGAAAAATAATAGAGTGCACGTTTTTACCAGAAAATGGAAAATTACCAAGTCATGAGCAGGAAGAAATTGGTCTCTCCATATATTTTTGGAGAAAGTAGCAATGGGACGGAAAACTTCGCAGACTTCTTTACCCGACATATTTTCTAGGAATATAATTTATAAGTAGAATAGTCTCACTTGTTATGCAGGTCGGCTTCCAATACTCCAGCAGTCCAGCCATATTTATAAATACTTGGAACTTAGAATCATTTTTTCAATTTTCATTTAAAATTAAGTCTTTTGTTTTTTAAATTTTGATCGCAGCCCCACTTGTGTTGCGTTGAATTACCATTTATTAACCTAAAAAATGATAGGCAGGACAATTTAGTAAAGACAACCATCTTACTATTAAACAGTTGACAGACATAGATTTATTATGACTGTGATGTTTTGTATTAATAGATATCAATTTTTTCTCATATCGTGAAATCAAAAATAAAAAAATAGAATATAGTTAGGGTATTAATGGTATGATTAGATCTGTAAGCAGCTTGCAGCAGGCATCATCAAATTATTTTATATAGTTTGATTAAGACGAGGGAGGCGGCTAAAACACTACTTTTCTTTCACTTTCTGACAGTTGAACGAAAATTAAATGATTCCGGTTGGAGTCACCGCAGATTTAGATTTCGTATAGAGTGGGTTTATATGATGGATCAAACGAGTTTAAGTACATTTAATTTTCTCTCTCTCAAAGTCAAATGATCCTACATTTAATTTATCCCTGATAGTAATAGGCCTAGGGACCATTTGAGGGCGACCACATCATACAAATTTCAAATTTATATATATTTTAGATATTTTATTTATATTTTCTATTGATATTATGTTTTACTCTTAAAATTTTATGAGTTTATCCTCTTGAAATTTTATAAGTTTTCTCCGACACTACATATATTCCTATTTAATATGATTATGAAAATAAAATCATCACTTAAACCTAATACATATTATTTGTTTCATCTGAATAACTTGTTTATGGTCATTTGTATCCTATATATATATATATATATATATATATATATATATATAAGCAAATTTTAATGCACTTAATTTGTACGGAAACTGTGGAGCTATTTTACTATTATTTTTATTTGAATAGTTTTTAGTTACTCACAATACACATACCCTGTAATTTAATATTTCTAAAAACAATATCACCATCTTTAATCCAATAATATCTGAGACACATATTTATATACATCGTGAAGCTTAAGCTTTAAGCCAATATAGTCGAAAATTTGTTCTAAAAGTGGCTATATTCAATGTTTGAATGCAACGAAACAATAACTCTACTAATCCCTTGACCAGCCACGAATTCGCATCATCAAGCTGCACACTGTTATGGTCCCATTCTTTTATTACACGACGAACATAAAATTTTATTTTAAACTGAACTTTTAAAATTTTAAGAATAATAAATTTATAAAATTTTAAGAGTTAAAATCAAACTATAAATAAAAAATAGAAAAAATAACTTCAGTGACCAAAAATCCCATATAATATACGATTTTAACCAACTTTTTCCGGATTTGCCAAAATGACCAACAAAATCGCAATGCGATCGCTAATTCGCAACGCGATCTCCATTATCGCAAATACGCGTTGCATTTTCGCAATGCGATAGTTGAAAATCGCGTTGCGATGGTCTACAGTATCGTTGCGATTTTCCCAATTCGCAATGCGAATAAGTAAATCGCAACGCGAATTGGGAAATTCGCAATGCGAATAAGTAAATCGCAACGCGAATTGGGAAAATCGCAATGCGATACTGACTATCTCAATGCGATAATAAAAAATCGCAACGAGATACTTACTTTCGCAACGCGATACTGACTTTCGCAACGCGATTTACTTAGCGCCATTCGTATTAACACGTATTTTTTTTTTTCAAATTCCAAACACGTATTTTTTCTTAATAAATCGGAAAATGAACCGTCCACAGTAATCGCACGCAACTCATAACCTCAAACCCAAACACACAACATTCAGTCCCATCTCCATCTTTCACTCTCTACGGCGAAATCCGTCCCCATCTCCGAAGATTTCCGTCCCTATCGCCGGCGAAATCCCTCACAACCATTCACAGTCAAAAATCCCTCACAATCATTCAGAAATGGAAAATCAACCTCCGAGGGTTAGTTTTTTTATTTTTATTTTGAAATTTTGCATTATTTTAGGTTTTTCATATTGAGATTGATGATAAGTTTACTGGTAATTTCAATAATAGATTAACCATTTCACTTAGATTTCTTATTAAATTCATTCGATTGCTGTCAATACTGCTAAACTGTTTAGCCTGTGAAGTTAGTATTTGTCTTTGTTTTGTCTTTTGGTTGAAGTAATGCAGAAGAAGAATAGTTTCGAGAATGAAAATCGCAAAGCGGAAATAACTATCGCAACGCGAAATAAAAATCGCAACGCGAAACCAAAATCGCATTGCGATTTTCATTTCGCGTTGCGATTTTCATTTCGCGTTGCGATTTTCATTTCGCGTTGCGATTCTCTCGTCGCGATAGTCATTTCGCGTTGCGATTCTCTCATTGCGATAGTCATTTCCGCGTTGCAATTCTCATTATCTCGTTGCGATTTTCATTTCAACCAAAAGACAAAACAGTGTTGCAAATTTTAGTTTCAAGAATAAACTACTATGTTTATTGTTTTGTTTTTGGTATATCTTGACAGTGTAATTTTTGGTATATCTAACTTGGTATGTTTATTGTTTTTTTGTAGAAATTTTTTTCGGCTTCATTGACATTAAGGAATAAAGTTAGCCTAGCCACTACAATTGCTTCGAAGCTTTCACCTGCACAAAGAAAATTGTTTGAAGAAACCTGCTTCGGGCCATGGCTGAGAGTACAGCATCCGGGTGGAGATGCTAGTTTGACCCATTTGTGGCTTCAGACCATGACTAGCGATCTACCTGACAGTATACAACGTGGTGAGGAAGAGATATGGTTTCATTTTCCACCGGCGTATACTTGTTTTGGGCGGAAGGAGTTCTGCTTAATCATTGGTCTACGATTCGGACACGATGATGTAGGCCGGTACACTCGTCATATCACTCGCCCATCATGGTTATCCAGGGTTTTTCCTGATGAGTCAATAGAGAAGCCGAACTTACACGTCGACGACATGAAGAAATTGTTTAATAAGAAAGATGGTTTTACTCGGATGAATGACGTCGATGTTGTCCGAGTATGCCTTCTACTACTTTTGTATGCCGGCTTTCTAGGCAGAGAGGCCAGACAACCTATTCCTCAGGAGCTAATATTATTGGTAGAGGACCTAAATGCATGGAATCTGTTTCCGTGGGGTTCGTATATATGGAAAGCTACCTGGACTAAGTTGTCGTCTGCCTTTGATGACCGCAAAAGTTTGCGGGGCGATGGGTCGAAATACACTTTGTCAGGCTTTGTTTGGGCCTTTAAGGTAAGAATTTCTATATAATGTTTTCAAAATTATAATTAATTATTTAACAATTACTAATGTTTGTTATTATATTGTTTGTAGATTTGGATATTCGAGGCTTTCCCCAGCATGCGGACATATGCATTAAAATTCTCAGATGATATTCCTAGGGCTATTTCCTGGAAGAGGAAACGTATGTTGGATTGGGAAGACTTAATACCATATGCGACAATAAATAATGTAAGTTAACACAAATACTATCATATATAAACAAGTTATTAATAGTAGACGTTTAACTTTGTTTTAGTTTTTATATTATTAGGAGGCCAACACTCCATTAATGAGACTGACACCCACGGAGGCTGAGCTTGCCACTGATTGGTGGCAAGCTAGTCAGCGTTTTTTTGATGGCACGAATGATGAGTAGCCTCCACTTCCTCCACTTCGAGAGCCATCACCTCACCCAGAGCCATCACCTGATCGACCCGACTATACACCTCTACAACGAGAGCCATCACCTATCCCGTCACATCATCGAGTCTCTTCTCCACCATCACCTCATGATAGGCGACCGACAAAGATGCCACGACTTCTATCTCCCTGTTCTCCACCTCCACGGGATGAGTCAAGGGAGTTACGTGATGAGGTCAATGCCTTGCGTGAGGAGATCGGTACTCTACGCGATAACGATGGTGCATGGCGTGTGGAGGTGTCTACTTTACGTGGTGAGGTTGCCGCTCTACGTGAGATGGTAGTATCGTTGCAGAATGAGGTTCATACTCTACGCAACGAGGTAAGTTTAAGATTTTCCATATTTAACTTGATGATAAATTTACTCGTAATTTCACTTAAATTAACCATTTCACTTAGATTGCTTGGTAAATTTATTCGGTTGCTGCCAAAACTGCTAAACTTTTTACTTTAACACTGTGAAGTTAGTATTTGTCTTTGTTTTGTCTTGTGGTTGAAAGTTTGAAATATATTTATCTTTGTTTTCACTGTTTAAATATCATGTCTGTTTATTTACTGATATTTGTATTTTTATTTAGCGGACCGATAAGGTGGATGCTTTACGTCGGGTTTTTCTTGCACGACAGAGTTCACGCATCAGACGGCGTGCACGTGCTATTAAGTCTCCGTATACCCCAATAGTGCGAAGACACCGCAAGAAGAAGCCCGACTCGCCTATCATCCATCAAGAGTCCACTCCTATCGTTGAAGAGGCCCCTATCATTCCTCGAGAGTCCCCTCCCACCGTTCAAGAGGCCACTGTCATCGTTGAAGAGGTCCCTCCCACCATTCAAGAGCCCGATTCACATGGCGTCATATGTAGGATTCTGAGAAACCCTCTGACGTGCCGGACATGATGGATTCAAGTTGGCTCTCGTATGAGTTACCGGCCAGTACCATACCGGTATCTGAAGAGGAGAGGAAACAACTACCGGACACAATTCTGGATAACACCCTTTGGGCTAAGACCGCAGTTGATTTTTATCTACACGAGCGAAGCCAGGGGTGTTTCACTGACATATGCAAGCTCAATGATGATATCTATTTGTTGCTTGATCGGTCTTGGTGGGGCGTATTATTAGGGGTCGAAGACAATGGCTATTTCGATGGAGGGGTAAGTCTTATATTTTTCTTATATTTCATTTGATTAATTTGTTTAAAAATTAATGTAATTCACT